TTCAGAAAGTTCATGGATGAAATTCTCCTAGCACGATTAATATAAATGAAAACTAAGCACATGTATGGTTTCAGGGCAATGAATACAAAATCTTTCATTCACAAACCTAAGTCTAAATGTTCCTAAATAGAGAGATAGAAGTTCATGAAATACCTGTTTCAGTTGAGTTCGAGCTGGACAATGCAACAACTTTCAATGGGGCCTGAGGTTCTTTTGAGCTTGCTTGATGTCCTCTGAACCTTTCCCAATGCTTAGTTTTTTTTGAAGTGGCCTGAATCGTGCTGCAGAACTCAACCTACAAAGCTTCCAAACAAAAATGGTGATGTGTGTAAATGGAGTTACAACAACTTGTGAATGGTCTGGACATCTTAGGTGTATTGTTTAGAATGTGTTTGAAGTGATTTGGGACAAAACGCACGAGGGTATTTGATTGTGGCTTGTGATTTGCAGAACTTGCCTTGTTTTGGGCAGAAATGAAGATTTTGTGCACAAGGGGGTTTGAGAGGTCCAAGACTCGTGTTTCTGGCTTACAAGGATATGAGAAACTTGTTTGAAAACTTGGCTTGAGTTCAATATATCAGATGTGTGAGTTATGAGCTTTTGACCATTTGACTTATTTTGAAAGCAAAGATGTGAAGTGACCAAGCTATGGCATGTACAGGCTAGTTACAAGCATGCTCAAGTTGGTGTACTATGCCTGAGATTAGGGAACTTATTTACTGCAAGGAAAAAAGTCCAAGGCTCAAGAAAATGCAATTTGACATAAAGTGGCCTTTATGCAAATGGAAGTGTGACCTTTATGCTCAAAATAGAAATGTTCATTGTACAATGCTCTCTTGATCAGAACAATGCCAATGTCCAATGTATTTGCACTCAATTTTTTAGTGTAAATTGGTTTAGAGACCTGTAATTATGTACTAAGCTAGTTTGGTCAGATTTGGCAAGTGGTATGAACATGTATTGGCCATGGTTACAAAGTGAGTTTTTGCCAACTTCAAGCATTCGATTCTCCCTAACCACAAAGGTGTTTGAGGAGTTATTGGACAATTTGGAAAGCTTGCAACATGTACTATAATCCATCTTTGAAATGAAACTTAAGACTCCAAGTGGAACTATGTGAAAAATTGCCAAGAAGATGGGTCAAAATCCTGCCTAAACTAGGGCAAAAATTCTCTAAGTTAAAAGTTTTAGGTACCCTTGTCCCAAAATTCATAACTTGAGATACAAGCTTCTTTTGAGAAAACTTTGTGAATCAAAGTTGTAGACTTTTTGATGGACTACAACTTTCATGTTGTAATTTTTGTTTTAATACATTTTCATCTTGGTGAAAATGTGGGACAAAGTTAGGAAAAATTAAGAAAATTTCATAACTTAGAAAATTTATAAGTTATGAAATTTTTTCATTTTAAACCCTAATTTGCAATTTTGGGTTTCTTGATGAACAAGTTTCATAATTTGACATGTTTTGATGAAAAATGACCCTTGGCACTTGATTTTGACCAAAAAGTCAAAGTTTGACTTTTCAGTATACAGTTAAAATTTGATCAGTTGACTGAAAAATTCATCTGTCAATCCTATGCATTTGAGATCTTTTGAACTTGTTGAATGGGTCAAGATGATGTCATTGAGTCCTTGAGTCTATGGTTGGGCTTGATTTGCCATTGTCTAGGTCAAACAGTCAAAAAATTCCTTTGTACAGTCAAAACCTTAAAAATGACCATTTTGCCCTTTTGGTGATCTGATCAAATTTCTTGTGGAATTATGATCCAAACTTGATCAAATGGTTCATATGAGTTCATAATGTTGACGTGGGTCAAAATTCATAAGGTTTGACTGTCAATTGGCCACAATTGACTTTTTCCCCAATACAGTTGATTTCTAAGTCAACTATCCAATTGACTGGGCAGAAATTTGATTCAAGGTTTGAAACTTGGCATGGACAAACTGGTGGGTCCAACATGAAGTATGAAAGTCACTTTGGGCATTGTAGGTCAAAACATCCCTGTGCAAACTCAAACCCTAATTTAGGTCAACAGTGCAAGGAGGTGTCTTAAGCAGAGCAAACCCTAGCTTGATCTTGAGTTCCAAGAGTCTTATGATGAGAAATGTTGATGAAATGAGAGGGAAAATTTTGGGGTACAACACTCACCAACCTCTTCTTTTCTTCTATACTCGACTGAATCTTTTTCATCTACTTCTTATGATATCAATCCTTTGATGCGTAACAATTTCGTTGTTCTGGTGATGTGAAATCGAAATCTAAGAAATCGCGAAGGTCGACAAATTCACGTAGAGATGATGGTGTCGCTTGAAGCGTGAACAGAACGATGAAGATGCAGATAATTTTGTAGGTTGAGGATGAAGATTGAGGAGGCACGACGAAGAGAAACCCCGTTGTAGTTAACGCTCTGTGTCGAAGATTGATGTTGAGGATCTGAGAAGATGAAGAGAGATCTAAAGGGTGTAATGATGTTGGTCGTGGTTCCAGAAGGAAGAAGATGAAGATAAAGGGATGTTCTCAGGATATGAAGGTGAAGCCCATTTAGGGAGAAAGATTGAAGAGGGATAATGAAGATTGAAGGTAGGTTTTTCTGTAATTCTTCCCTTTTCTACTTTTTGTTATCAATCATGTATATCTTTCCTCTTCCCCTTTTTTATTTTCAAATATGTTATCTCTGTTATATTTAGTTAGAAACAATCGGGAAGTTAGTTGGGAGGTTTTGAATATGTTAGGCTTCAGTTAGGAACTGAAATTCTGTTAGGAATGATTGTCAAAGGTAATTAGCTAGGAAGTTATGTTAGAGTTGTGTTTAATTATTTCTGCTAGAAGTTTGTTGGACTGTTGGAGATTAGGAGGTTAGAGGGAGTTAGAATTCGGTTGGAAATTCTGTTTAGGATGGTTATGAGGTTTGTTATAGGAGTTAGTTCTGGTTAAGAGATATTAGGAAGTTAGGAATTCTGTTATGCTTTCTATTTGCAGTTTTGTTTGGAAGTCGACTGGGGTTAGAGAAATTAGCGGACAAAGCTAAAAAGAAGTTAGATGTTAGTTATATGTTATAGAGGAGGTTATGGAATTTAGTTCGATTTATTATAGGTAGTTGTGATTAGGAAGGTTTTCTGTTATGGAGGTTTCAGTTAGGACTGTTATGAGAGTTTTTGAAGTTGATTAACCCTGTTATGAAAAACAGTTGGAGGTTAATTTCGGTTTTTTTGTTAGGAGTTAGTTACGAACGGTCAACTGGCTGTTTTGGAAGGTTAGGAAATTGGTTAGAAAACGGTTTAAGGAGTTTTTTCTGTTGTGGCTTGGTTACAAATTTACTGTTAATTGGTTATAGGGGTTTTGACAATTAGTTATGGTTATAGGAGTGAAATTCTGTTAAACTGTTAGAGGGGAAGTTCAGGAGATAAATGGTGGAGATTCTAATATTGGGTTTGTTATAAGCTAGAAACTGTTTTTGCTGCCTCCTTGTTCTGATTTAATTTTCCGAGTTTCGCTGTTTCCAATTTCTGAGTTTTGAATTGGTGCAGGATATTGTGTGAAGATGATTTTCGTCTAGAATTCTGTAGGTTGGAACAAGGCTTGGAGCTAAAGAAATAGCTTGCAATATGGAATCAAGCATAAAATAAATGAAAGCTTTTAATGGTTAAGTCTTAACCACAATTTAGAACTGTTTCTGAACCGTATTCAGCCAGATTTAGTGCAATTATTTTCTTTTTTGGACAGACTTGGTGTAATTGTTTTGTTGGACAGACTTAGTGTAATTGCTTTCTTATTTTTTGGACAGACTCAGTGTAATTGAAATAAGGCATTGGTTTGACGTATTGTGAGTTGGGCCATTTTGGATTTGAAAAATGGACGAGGTTCAAGGCTTAATAAAGTAATGGATAAAATGTCTTGAATGTATGTGATTGTATAGAGTTTTGGACCTTGGGATTTTGTACTTGAACCCGAACAAATGAGTATTGGTAAATGATGGTGAAATGATATTTGTATTTGAAAAATATTGTAAACTTGAACCTATGAATGAACAAGAATGTTGAATTCTGATTGAATGAACTTTGCACTTGATTGTAACTTGATTTCCAAGTTAATGCATCTTTCATTTTTAATACCAATATAAACTCTAACCGAATTTGAATCATCTTCAATTCAATGAAGATCCCTAATTCAACTCTTCCATCCATGTTAACTTGTATTGTAAGCAACACACTAATGCCTTGATCAACACTTCATCTTTTGTAGCGTGAATCAAAACCTTGGAAAATCAATCTTCAAATGTTTGATTTGGAAAAATTCCTTTTTACTTGATGATTTTAACACAAAACAATACCTTTGGAGCATCCTTGGATGAAGATGAATGAGACTTGAATCATAGCGGAAAACCTTTAAGATTTATACTGACGAATGCTAACAAGCTCAAACCATATAAAAGAAACCCTAACTTTAAGATCCTCGATCCCATGCCCAGTTTGTTAACGATGCAGGATTTATTGTATGACCTAATCGAAGTTATATACATGCGAAAAGTACGAGATGTCTAAGCCAGATAATTTGACAGAGGTGTAGGACAAATTTGTGATATTACAAATGTTAATATTCACTTATAAGTAAAATCCATGATAGCAAAACTTGATTTGACTGTATCATTTTGAGAGATGAAAGTCCCTCTTCTCTTACCCCGATTTTAATTCCATGAGGATTAACTTATAAAAAAACATTGATGTGACTCGTGTCCCTATATATTTTTGGAACATAGGTGTAATATTTTTATATAGAACACATATATAGATAGATAGATTTGGGAGGGAAACAAATTTCGAACAGTATTTGCTACATGCAGAAGCACAAAACAAGTCGGCATACACGTGTTTTTATTTTGTTGGTTATTCCACGCACACACCTTCAATCCAGTGTTTTATAACTACCAACAAAACCTCTTCATCACATCCAGAACCTTCTTTTCATTGTCATTAGTATCGTTTTTTCTCCATCCATATCCATGGCCGAATCACCCCAAACCACCGTTCTCGTTACCGGTGCTGGTGGTCGTACAGGTACTCTCTTTTCACTTCATTCTCTCATGCACTTTTTCAATTCTCGTTCAATTTCATCATAGTTGATGAGTATATTTGAATTAGGGTTTATTTTGCGCCTTTACAATTCTGTAGTTGTAGTAATAGTTTACAATTTTATTTGAATTGGGGTTTATTGAATTTGTGCCTTTAGAATTTCGTTTTTGTTGATCAGTTTATTTGAATTGGGCTTTATTGTGCACTTAGGGTTTTCTTTTGCCTTTGTACCCTAGAAACAATGAGAATTTGTTCAAACAAAGTTTTCTACTTAAACAAAACACTTTCTATGTTCATAGTTTATGTTAGTATTAGTAATAATTACACTAAAAACTTAACTTGCCAGGGGCATGTAGAACATGTGCTTCTGTCATTGTGAATCTCAGTTGTCTTAGTGTCACGATCTTGATATTGTGGAAAATTAGGGTAAAATTGGCTTGATGTTGCATCCATGGTTTTAAATTGCGGCTGCAGTTGCGGGTGTTGCGGTTGCGATTGCGGTTGCTGCGATGCGCATTGCGGCTATTGTAGCGTGGATTTTAATTGGGAGGTGTTTGAACTATAGCGTAAAAGAACACTTGATGTTAAGATTTTTCATTACATAGAAAATAAATTGAGTTTTTGCGTTCTGAAATTAATACTTGAAGAAATATGAGAGAAATTGTCTGATGTGATTTGTAAGGGCAATCAGACTTATGGTTTTAATTCACGCTGCAACTGTGGTCCGATGTGGTTGTATCACATTAGCAATATTACGGTTGTAATTGCGGTTGTGGACTGCAATTTAAAACCATGGTTGCATCAATTGTCGTCTTGCAATTTAAAATCATGGTTGCATCAATTGTGGTCTTGATACATTCATTGCGACATAGAAAACCCTAAAGTCCCGGCAACAATTGTGGTTGCAGTTGTAGACCCTTTATTTTTTAAAAGCTTGGTCAAATGGATTGCGAATCTATCAAAGTTGTAGGTCATATTTCCTTACATTTGCAAGAAGTTGATTTCACAAATCAATATTTATTTCATTTTCCTAGTCACATGACAAAATATTGCTGATCATTGTGTCATGCGGCTCAACTTTCTTTTAGTGCTAGTGAAATATTTCATTAGCTCTACCTTTCAGATGTTGTTACAAATGTATGTGAAACATTTTATTTTCAACATGGAAAAAGGTTGTGAAGATTTATATTTGATATTGTTGCAGTTGCAGGGTACAGTTTTGATCTATTTAGTGTTGACTGACAAATTTTAAGGAAATCTATCGTTCTGTTCTGTGCATTTCATCTTTAAAAACAATATCGTTTTCTTAGTTTGGGCTAGTTAAAGTTGTTAGTTATATTGAGAAATTAATGATGATAATGAGAATGTAATAGAATCTGAAAGTTATTCAATTAGTAAAGAGTATAAACTCTAATATGAATATATTGAGCAATCCTAATAAATGCTAATCCAGAAATAAGAAAACATATAAACATATATATTCTCATAATTACAGATTTTATTCTCCTAATATTGACAGATACAATATTTTACAATAATCCTTCTCAAGCTTGTGAATGAATATTGGTCATTTCCAAATTGAAAGTAAGTAGGCTGAATTATTTTCTTGGCTAGTCTTTTGATAAACCATTCGCTAGTTGATGCATAGAAGGAATGTAGACAGCTGCTATCATACTATTCAGATTTTGTTTCTTCCTTTCTTATAAAAAAATGTGGCTGCATTGGTTATTATTGTAGCTGTATTCAAGGAGAGTCCAAAGAGCGTTAGAGGTGTGTTAAAGCAAAGAAAAAGAATACTGCTTCGGACACTTGTATAAGGGCCTGACACGTGTCTTACGGATGTCGGTGCTTAGAGAATGTTGGGCAATGAAGTTTCTAGAAGAACAAAGAATAAGTAGTGGTTATGAGGGTTCTTTGGTGAATGGCTAGACATAAAATATAATATATGATTAAGGATCAAATGTATCTGAGAGATAGTTAAAAATATATTGAGGGGAGGGTGAAGTAAACTCAAAACTGGTTTCGTCATTAGCATAAAATAATTGTTAAGAGTCCCACCACATCAGACAATATATGGTCTGAACATGTCCTTATTAGTGGGGACAATCCTCACCTACAAGCGGGTTTTGTAAGGTTGAGTTAGGCCCAATCACATTTCTTAACAGTAATTAATGCTTCGGTAAGCAAATTGAAAGTTTGCTTTTTAATTTGTTAAGAGTCTCACATCAGACAATATATGGTCTGAACATGTGCTTATAAGTGGGGGCAATCCTCACCTTACAAGCTGTTTTTGTATGGATGAGTTAGGCCTAATCCCAGTTTTTAACATAATTGAGCTAAATCATGTTAATTGATTTTGTATTCTTGTGCTTCTAGTAGTAGAATAAGACTTCAATGTATTTTGTAATGATTGAGTAAGACAATGAGTCATATCTTTATGCGGTTGTGCCAGTCGTGTCATCATCAGATAGAGTTGAAGTATGAATCAAATTCACATGCTCTACCTGATTCCATTGCTTTATTTTTGCACCGTGAATTTGAAAAAAAGTTCTCCATGTGATGTTTGTATGTTCAAGAATTCAGATTAATATAGTTTAGCAGATTATTTGAATGTTTCATGCATTTTTTCTTGGTGGTGTATATTATACAAGTTCCTTGTACCAGAATGATTATTTATCTCTGTTCTCATACAATAGATGGAACAAGAGTCATGTTTTCCTTTTTATCACTCATTGAGAATTCTCAATGTGATTGATTGGTTAACTTTTCAGGACAAATTGTGTACAGAAAATTAAAAGAGAAGCGAGACAAATATATTGCTAGAGGTCTAGTTAGAACAGAAGAAAGCAAACAGAAAATTGGTGGTGCGGAAGATGTTTTCATTGGGGATATCAGAGATGCTGAAAGTATTGTGCCTGCAATTCAAGGTATCGATGCTCTCATAATTCTCACTAGTGCGGTGCCACAAATGAAACCTGGGTTTGATCCAACCAAAGGTGGAAGACCTGAGTTTTATTTTGACGATGGTGCATTTCCTGAACAGGTGTTAATGCTATTACATTTTTCTTATTCGTACTGAGGACATTTTTATATATATTATCTCTTTTGACTTAAATTGTGATCTACTCTTTCATATGATAGGTTGACTGGATTGGGCAGAAAAATCAAATAGATGCTGGTAAGAATCCACACTTTCTATCCATAATCATAGGTGACGTTTGGTATACCGAGTCTGTTTTCATTTTTGGGAGTCACGTTTCCTCCTAGCATTTAATCGCACTGAGCATACAGTCATAATTCATCCACCAGACATTGATCCTGTCTCTTTAGAAATGAAGGACACGATTGTGCAAACCCATAGAACAAATCATGTTCACGTAAGGCCGTACAACGGTGTCCTTGATTTCTAAAGAGACAAGAACCTAAGTCTGCTGGATGAATTATGACCGTGTAATCGTAGCGTGGTTAACAACTATGATAATGCTTCAAATGTCTTTGGAATTTGTAGAATACTTTTGGGAATGTTAAACAATGCTTACTTGAAGTTTCTCATCATCTTAATAGTCTTGGATCCCACCCCCTTTGGGAATGTTTTGCCAGAAGCATAATAAAAAATTTTCATACCAAACAAATTCACTCATGCTTATGATATTAAATTTGTTTTATCTCTATGAACAGCTAAGGCTGCAGGAGTGAAGCATGTCCTGTTGGTCGGGTCTATGGGTGGAACAAACCCTAACCATCCTTTGAACAGTTTGGGAAATGGAAATATATTGGTGAGTCATATTTTCTCCAATACTTCTAAATTACTTTATTTCATAGCATTTTTACCTTGCTTTTTATTTGAACAGATTTTATATTTTATTCTAAAGCCTAATAGGTAGCATCTTTTTCATTTAGATTTTTTGTTATGAATAATATAGTTTCATAATAATTGCAGGTTTGGAAAAGAAAAGCTGAACAATATCTGGCCGATTCTGGCCTTCCATACACGATCATAAGGTACACTGATTCACGTCTTTTCAGTTTTCTTCACAGTTCCAAATCTGGTTGGATCACCAGTGCATTGCACAGGCTAAAAACACTAATAAAAAAATTGGGACTAATGCCTTTAGTAACCGAGCTAGGAAACTATTTTGAATATACTCCGCAATATTATCTTTATATCTGGTTCTATGAGTTGAAAAACTTTCAGAATGCATGGTGACATTCTCCGGGAAAAGAAGAAAATATCTGCTGATATTTGTAATTGTTTATAAAACATTGTTATTTTGTATGTAGTGCTGTTGTCAAATAGCGGCTATAGTGCAACAAAACTTGAACAGATTACTATTGTTCTACACTATTTAGTATAAAATGTTGTCGACAAGTGGCTATGGCGGCGCTATAGCACCGTAGTGTTGCTAAACTTGAACAAACCGCAATTTTTCATGATCCGCAATTGTATATAGAAGAAACTTAAGCATCTAAAGGGAACTGCAATTGGATATTTGATAGAATATGTTGCAATTGATAAACGTACTAATATAATTGCTTGTGTTTCTTTAATGCATTTAATTATATTTTTGTATATATTTGGAGCATTCTTGTTATTAAATTCCAATTCACTTTGTTGGTCGCAGGGTGTTATTATGAATATTGTGTTTGTTTCCTTTATTATATTTCTCATCTTCATTGATGACCCAGACCTGGTGGCTTGCTTGAAAAAGATGGAGGTAATCGGGAACTGATTGTAGGAAAGGACGATGAACTTCTTCGGACCGGAGACAAAACTATACCTAGAGCTGATGTTGCAGAAGTCTGCGTTCAGGTATACTATCTCTTATAGAACTTGGGAATCAGTGATTCAATCATAAATACTCGTTTTTTGTTGTTGTGTGAGATTTGGTTAACAAGTCTTCATTATGTTGGTTTGATAGGCACTGAATTATGAGGAGATTAAATTCAAGGCATTTGACTTGGCATCAAAAAGTGAGGAAGTAGGCGAACCAACAAAGGACTTCAAGGCTTTGTTTTCACATATCACTTCTCGTTTTTGATTTTGAATGTGGTTGTCATTCTTGGTGTATCTGATTATTGTCTAACAATGGGTTTGAAATCCAAAGTCAAAGCAAATCACTTTGCATCGACAAATAAGTTAGATACACGGCTAGACTTCAACATGTGAATTTAGGAATGGAATATGAGAATATTATCAACTCTTTCAGTATAATATAGTATACTGTTTTTCATACAAAGCTCAATACTAAGAAATGTCACAACATTCAAAGCTCTCTTCTCAAATTTATGAGTTTTTTTTTTCCAACCGTTTAGGAAAGTTAACATTGAAAATTAAGGGCTAATATTGAAAATTTGGAAGTCCTTATATTATTGGGAGGTTAATAAATTTTTTTTCTCTAATATTTAACATTAAACCCAATTCATGAATCAACATTTCTTTTTCCACTCAATAACATTTGAAAACATTGAAAATTCTTTTTTCAAATAACATACCTCATTCATTCAATTTTCCCTTATCAATCAATTCAAGACATTTCTCGCAAACCTTTCAAAGGCATTTGAGTCATTTTAATCTCTTCACTTCCTCGCATCACTTTTGATCAATCTCGACTCCATTTTATTGTTAACTTTCATTTAAACTTTAAATTAGGTCAAATTGAAAAAATAATTATGACATATCCAAACTAAATTCAAGTGCATATAAATAATTTTTAATCTCAAAACTAATCTAAACTTCACATCATACAACCTTGATAAAGATATTTACTAACTCTTACAAAAAACTATTAACAGTTTAATTAAGTAATAAAAGGAGATGCACTCAGTATCTGAAAGCATAAATTGTAGAACAAAGAAAAGCTTAGCACTTATGGTTGAATTAAAATCTCTAGAGATTATAATAACAAACTCAAAAGAGGGTGCGAATTATTACCAAGACAAAAAAAGAGATTAAGTGTAATTCTGAAGAGATTAAGTCTGTAGTAAAATTTCAAGTAATTGAAAAAATGAAAGAAATTCATCAAGCATAAATAAGGTGAGGTGGCATATTTTATGAAGAATGACATAAGATCACTGTCCATGTTTGTTTGGGCTTGCAATGCTAGCGTTCATTATTTTGAATCTATTTGTTACATTCTTGTTATTAAAGAGAGAGATATTAATATTATGTTTAATTACTACTTATCCCAAGAGCTAATGATTAGGTTAGGTTAAGTTACTGCAAAATTATTAATTATGTCACTTTCTTAAGGTCGGTGTTAAGTTGTGATTCTCATCGTCACTACACGTAAAAAAAAAAAAATTTGAAATTGAAATTCAATAATGTTTTCATTGAATTAAATTGCAAAGTGTTAGTGCATGGTAATGAAGTGGGAGAAGAAGAATGAATAAAGAATGAACATAAAAGACTACTGTATATCAAAATAGAAGAGATAAAGTAGAGTACCATATTGATAGTCTAGAATAACATATTTATACTAAATATTGAAAATGGCAAAAGACTCTATTAAAGAATAAATATTGGGAATTGTAGAAATTAATTAAATTATCTTTTTTTCAATACCATCTCTTAATTTAGATTTTCTATCAGAAGGTAACAACACCAATTTCATTTCTCAAGCGAATACATTGGTCTGTCTTAACTGCCTTCGTCAGAAGATCTGCTAGCTGTTTCTGAGTGTTGTAGTGCAGAACTTCTAACACTCTTTTCTACACTTGACTTATGAGAAAATGATACTTCGTATCAATGTGCTTGCTTCTTTCATGTAGCACTGGATTCTTGGCAAGATCAATTGCAGACTTATTATCAATCATCAACTTCAGAGGTTTCTCAACTTCAACCTTCAGATCATGCAAGAGATTCAGAAGCCAAACAGCTTGACAAGCAGCTACAACACCTGTGATATACTCAGCTTCACATGTTGACAGAGCCACGACATGCTGTTTCTTGGAATTCCAAGAAATGGGACCTCCCAGAAATTTAAACAAGTATTCAGAAGTACTTCTCTTGTCCACTCAGTCTCCACACCAGTCAGAATCAGAATAATTTACTAATTCTGGTTGTCTTTCTTTCAGAAGGAAACAACACTCCATATTTCAGAGTTTCCTTGATATATCTCAGAATTCTGACAGTAGCTTGGAAATGAGACCACTTTGGGTTACTCGTGAATCTGCTAACCAATCCAACTGCATAAAAAATGTCAGGTCTAGTATTGCATAAATACCTTAGAGAACCAACCAACTGTTTGAAGGTTGTAGTATCAACAAAATTACCATCAGAGTCAGAATCTAATTTTTGATTGGTTTATGATGATATCACAACAACTTTATAATTCTGCAGCTTAAATCTCTTCAGAAGTTCTAATTCGTACTTCTACTGATGCAGAATGATACCCTTCTTCGAGTACAAAATCTCCATCCCTAGGAAATATGTCATATTTCCTAGATCTGTCATCTTGAACTCATTCATCAGAACTTCTTTTAACTTCTTTATATCTTCTGCGCATCTTCCTGTTAGCAAAATATCATCAACATAGAGACACACCAGAATCATATTGTTATCATAGTGTTGCACATAAATGCCATATTCCATCTCACATTTCTGAAATTTCTGCTTCTTGAAAAACGATTCAATTTTCAGATTCCAAGCTTTGGGCGCTTGCTTTAGTCTATACAGAGCTTTATTCAACTTGTATACCAGCCCTTCCTGATTCTTTTTCACAAATCTAGGAGTTTGTGACACATAAACTTCTTCCTATACTGGACCATTCAGAAATGCAGACTTCACATCCAGATGCATCAAAGGCCAATTTCTATTTGCAGCTAAAGCAATCACCAGTCTGATTATTTCATGCCTAGCTACAGGCGTAAACACCTCAAAGTAATCTAGCCCAAGTTTCTGAAGGAAACCTCTAGCTACTAGTCTAGCTTTGTGCTTGCCAATTGAACCATCTGACTTAAGTTTTAACTTAAAAACCCATTTGACACTGATGACTTTTTTCTTATCTGGAAGCTTAGTCAATTTTCACGTTTTGGTCCTTTCTATTGCCTCAAGTTCTTCTTTCATGGAATTCAGCCATTCTTTCTTCTTGAGAGATTCTTCAATGCCCACTGGTTGAGAATCTACTAACATGGCACACTGGACGACTTCTCCTTCAGAATCAACTTCATTATCTTGCAACATTTCGAAAACTACAAACCTTCTTGTTTTTTGTCTGATTCTCTGTGGTCTTTGAGCTTGTTCTGAAACTGAACCAGAACTACTACCTTCAGAGTTACCACTTTCAGAGTTTTCCCTTCCAGAACTATGATCACCATCCGATTCTAGATCATCATCAGCATCTAGATCAGAATCAGATCCACTGTTAGAATCTCCTTCCGACTCATCTTCAGAATCTTTAAAATCAGATTCATCTTCTGATTTTGACTTATCTTCAGAACTTTCTAAAACATCTTCAGAAACTAACTCTGGTGTTGGCACTACACCAGAATCTGATTGAGACTTGTTCCAATCCCATGCTTCAGACTCTTTTACCACAACGTCTCTGCTGACTCCAACTTTATTAGTTTATGGATAATAAAGCTTATATGCACTTGTACTGTGATACCCCACCAGCAACATTACTTTGCTTTTATCATCCAGTTTTTGTCTTCTAACTTCTGGAACGTGTTTGTAACAGGCAGAGCCAAACACCTTCAGATGACTGACACTCTGCTTATCTCCAGTCCATTTTTCTAAAGGAACAACTTCCTTCAGCTTCTTTGTTGGACACCTGTTCAAAATATATGCTGATCTGGAAACAACTTCTTCCCATAACACGTGAGGTAGGTTTTTTTCTTTCAGCATGCTTCTGGTCATATCAAGCAAAGTTATGTTTCTTCTTTCAGCAAGACCGTTGTTCTGAGGAGTATATGGAGAAGTAACCTCATGTTCTATTCCATTCTCCTCATAGAACTTCTGGAAATCTGTAGAGTTATACTCACCTCCACCATCTGTTCTCAGAATCTTCAACTTTTGACCACTCTACTTCTCAGCCTTCACTTTGAATTTCTGAAACTTAGTAAACACTTCATGCTTGAACTTGATGAGTGTTGCCCCATGTCATTCTTGTGAACTCATCCACAAAAAACATAAAAAAATTTCCTCCAAGTGAAGGTACTGGAAATGGTCCACACACATCAGAATGTACTACTCCCAGAGCATGCTTCACTCTGGGGGCTACTTCTGATGCAAATGGAAATTTGGGTTGCTTGCCTTTCATGCATATCTCACATGACTTCTCAGGCTTCACAATCTTCGAAATACCATGTAAAAGCTTCTTGGAACATAGATGCCCTAAAATTCTATTGTTAATATGCCCCAATCTCTTATGCCACAACTTACTGTCACCTTCAGCACCTTCTGCACTAAGACACGTTGCTTCAGCTATTTCCACATTCACCTTGAATGTTCTGTTGCTTCCTTGTTCAGACTTCATAATCAACTTCTGATTGGAATCATACAATGTCAAGAGATTATTTTTCAGAACAACTGAGAAACCTTTCTCAATCAGCTGACCCACACTCATTAGACTGCTTCTAATACCAGGAACATACCAAACATCTTTGATCATAATGTATTTCCCATTCTTCACTCTAACTCTGAAATCTCCCATACCTTTTGCATTAAGATACTTATCTCCAGTACATCTGATCTTTGTTCTCCTTCTGGAGTCAAAGTCTTTCAGCCATTGTTTGTTTCCAGTTAAGTGATTTGAACAACCAGTGTCCATATACCACTAATATTTTGAGCATTTTTCATCAGAATCAGAAGCCATTAGTAGCACAGGTTCATCATCAGAGTTTCCCTTAGCCATATATGCTTCTTCTGATTTCCTTTCCTTGTTTGACCTACAATCTCTGGCAAAATGGCCAAATTGTTTACAAGAGTAATATTGAACCTTCTTTTTGTCATACCTCTCCTTTCCTTTATGATATATCTTATCATCAGAAATTAAGGTTTTTGACTTCTAAAATCTATCACCGTGTTTATTCTGCTTCT